GTCCCTGTACGGCCTCCCATTGCTGCTGTCTCCATCGCCACACTCTGCTGCCCATGTGCCACTTTCAGGTCTCTTCACACTGCTGGTGTGTTAAATTTTTTGACATAGGGTGCAGGCAGATTACGGGCCTCTCACATAGCTGCTGCCATTGCACCTAATCTGCCATGGGCCCCTATATACCCGCCTCCTCATGTGCTGCCAAGTATAGAGTCTGTCATGGGTCCCTGTAAACCGCCTCCCATTGCTGCTGTCTCCATCGCCACACTCTGCCATGTGCCACTTTCGGTCTCTTCACACTGCTGGTGTTGTTTAATTTTTTTGACATAGGGTGCAGGCCAGATTACGGGCCTCACATAGCTGACTTTTGCCAGGCCCCTAATCTGCCATGGGACCCCTATATATACCGCCTTTCCTCATGCTGCTGGCCAAGTCTAGAGTCTCTCATGGGTCCCTGTACGGCCTCCATTGTTGCTGTCGCCATCGCCACACTCTGCTGCCATGTGCCACTTTCAGGTCTCTTCAGCACTGCTGGTGTTGTTTAAATTTTTTGACATAGGGTGCAGGCAGATTACGGGCCTCACATAGCTGCTGCCAGGCCCCTAATCTGCAATGGGCCCCTATATACCGCCTCCTCATGCTGCTGCCAAGTCCAGAGTCTCTCATGGGTCCCTGTACGGCCTCCCATTGCTGCTGTCTCCATCGCCACACTCTGCTGCCAATGTTGCCACTTTCAGGTCTCTTCACACTGCTGGTGTGTGTTAAATTTTTTGACTTTGGGTGCAGGCAGATTACGGGCCTCCACATAGCTGCTGCCAGGGCCCCTAATCTGCCATGGGCCCCTATTGTGTCCAAAACCGCCCTCCCCTCATGCCTGCTGTGGCCAAGTCCAGTAGTCTGCTCATTTGCAGGTCCCAGTACGAGCCTCCCATTGCTGCTGTCCTCCATCGCCACAGAAACTCTGCTGCCAGGTGCCACAATTTTTATGGTCTCTTCACACTGCTGGTAATGTGTATTAAATTTTTTTGACATAGGCTGCAGGCAGATTATCGGTTTTATTCTCACATAGCTGCTGCAGGCCCCTAATTGCCATGGGTCCCTACAGTATAACCGCGCTCCTACATGCTTTAGCTTGCCAAGTCTAAGAGTCTGTCATGGGTCCTGTACGGCCTCCCATTGCTGCTGGTCTCCATCAGCCTCACCAACTCTGCATGTGCCACTTTCAGGTCTACATTCACACTGCTGGTGTGTTTAATTTTTTGACATTAGGGTGCAGGCAATTACGGGCCTCACATAAGCTGCTGCGATGGCCCAGCTCCTAATCCAGCCTATGGGAGCCCCTATAAACCGCCTCCTGCATTGCATGCTGCCTTGTCTAGAGTCCACTCATGGGGTCCTGTACGGCCTCCATTGCTGCTGGTCTCCATCGCCACCAGGTGTGCTGCCATGTGCCACGTTTCCAGGTCTCTTCACACTGCTGGTACGGAAGTTTAGTAATTTTTTGACTTAGGGTGCAGCAGTCCCTTACGGCTCGCTCACATAGCTTGCTGCCAGGCCCCTAATCTGCCATGGACCCCTATAGTAACCCACCATCCACATGGACAAGGTGCTTGCCATATAGTTCCAGAGTCCTCTCAAACATAGCGGGTCCCTGTAACGGCCTCAAATTTGCTGCTGTCAGTCCACATCGCTATCCACACTCTGCTGCCTTGTGCCACTTTCAGGTCTCTTCACTATGCTGGTGTGACTAATTTTTTTTTGACATAGGGTGGGTTTTAGCCTGGCTGATTACGGCCTCACATAGCTGGCTGCCAGGCCCCTAATCTGCCATGGGCCCCTATAAACTACCTAGCCTCCTCATGCGCTGCCAATCCTCAGAGTCTGTCATGGGTCCCTGTACGGCCTCCCATTGCTGCTGTCAGACTCCATCGCCACACTCTGCCATGTGCCACTTTCAGGTCTCTTCACACTGCTGGTGTGAGAGATTGCAATTTTTTGACATAGGGTGCAGGCAGATTACGGGCCTCACATAGCTGCTGCCAGGCCCCTAATTATGCCATCCATGGGCCCCTATATACCGCCTCCTTATGCTGCTGCCAAGTCCAGAGTCTCTCATGGGTCCCTGTACGGCCTCCCATTGCTGCTGTCTCCATCGCCACACTCTGCTGCCATGTGCCACTTTCAGGTCTCTTCACACTGCTGGTGTGTTAAATTTTTTGACATAGGGTGCAGGCAGATTACGGGCCTCACATAGCTGCTGCCAGGCCCATAAATCTGCCATGGGCCCCTATATACCGCCTCCTCATGCTGCTGCAAGTCTGTGAGTCTCTCATGGGTCCCTGTACGGTCTCTCCATTGCTGCTGTCGTCCATCGCCACACTCTGCTGCCATGTGCCACTTTCAGGTCTACAAGGTCACACTGCTGGTGTGTTTTTTAATTTTTCGACATAGGGTGCTGCAAGATAACGGGGCCTCACATAGCCTGCTGCCAGGCCCCTAATCTGCCATGGGCCCCTATATACCGCTCTCCTCATGCTGCTGCCAAGTCCAGAGTCTTCTCATGGGTCCCCTGTACGGCCTCCCATTGCTGCTGTCTCCATCGCCACACTCTGCTGCCATGTGCACTTTCAGGTCTCTTCACACTGCTGGTGTGTTAAATTTTTTGACATAGGGTGCAGGCAGATTACGGGCCTCACATAGCTGCTGCCAGGCCCTAATCTGCCATGGGCCCCCTATATACCGCCTCCTCATGCTGCTGCCAAGTCTAGAGTCTGTCATGGGTCCCTGTACGGCCTCCCATTGCTGCTGTCTCCATCGCCACAACCAAGCTCTGCCATGTGCCACTTTCAGGTCTCTTCACACTGTGGTGTGTTTAATTTTTTGACATAGGGTGCAGGCAGATTACGGGGCCTCACATAGCTGCTGCCAGGCCCCTAATCTGCCATGGGCCCCTATATACCGCCTCCTCATGCTGCTGCCAAGTCCAGAGTCTCTCATGGGATCCCCTGTACGGCCGTCCAATTGGAGTTGCTGTCTCCATCGCCACACTCTGCTGCCATGTGCCACTTTCAGGTCTCTTCACACTGCTGGTGTGTTTTCATTTTTTGACATAGGGGCATGCAGATTAAACGGGCCTCACATAGCTGCTGCCAGGCCACTAATCTGCCATGGGCCCCTATAAATACCGCCTCCTCTGTGCTGCTGCCAAGTCCAGAGTCTCTCATGGGTCCCTGTACGGCCTCCCATTGCTGCTGTCTCCAACGCCACAACACTCTGCTGCCATGTGCCATTTCAGGTCTCTTCACACGCTGGGGGGTGTGTTAAAGGGTTTTTGTTGACATAGGGTGCTGCAGGCAGATTACGGGCCTCCACATAGCTGCTGCCCAGGCCCCTAATCTGCCATGGGCCCCTATAAAATGAGAGCCTCCTCATGCTGCTGTCCAAGTCTAGAGTCTCTCATGGGTCCCTGTAACGGACCTCCCCATTGCTGCTGTCTCCATCGCCACACTTTGCGGGGTATGTGCCCTTTGCCACTTTCAGGTCTCTTCACACACTGCTGGTGTGTTTAATTTTTTGACATAGGGTGCTGCAAGATAACGGGCCGCTTCACAATAGTCTGCTGCCAGGCCCCTAATCTGCCTTGTTGGGCCCCTATATAACCCGCCTCCTCATGCTGCTGCCAAAGTGTGGGGGTCCCAGAGTCTCTCATGGGTCCCTGTACGGCCTCCCATTGCTGCTGTCTCCATCGCCACACACTCTGCTGCATGTGCCACTTTCCAGGTCTCTTCACACTGCTGTGTGTTAAATTTTTTTTGACATAGGGTGCAGGCAGATTACGGGCCTCACATAGCTGCTGCCAGGCCCCTAATCTGCCATGGGCCCCCTATATACCGCCTAAAGGTCTCATGCTGCTGCCAAGTCCAGAGTCTCTCATGGGTCCCTGTATCGGCCTCCCATTGCTGCTGTCTCCATCGCCACACTCTGCTGCCATGTGCCACTTTCAGGTCTCTTCACACTGCTGGTCGTGTTTAATTTTTTTGACATAGGGTGCAGGCAGATTTACGGGCCTCACATAGCTGCTGCCAGGCCCCTAATCTGCCATGGGCCCCTATATACCGCCTCCTCATGCTGCTGCCAAGTCCAGAGTCTCTCATGGGTCCCTGTACGGCCTCCCATTGCTGCTGTCTCCATCGCCACACTCTGCTGCCATGTGCCACTTTCAGGTCTCTTCACACTGCTGGTGTGTTAAATTTTTTGACATAGGGTGCAGGCAGATTACGGGCCTCACATAGCTGCTGCCAGGCCCCTAATCTGCCATGGGCCCCCTATATACCGCCTCCTCATGCTGCTGCCAAGTCTAGAGTCTCTCATGGGTCCCTGTACGGCCTCCCATTGCTGCTGTCTCCATCGCACACTCTGTGCTGCCATGTGCCACATTTCAGGTCTCTTCACACTGCTGGTGTGTTTAATTTTTTTGACGATAGGGTGCAGGCAGATTACGGGCCTCACATAGCTCATGCTGCTGCCAAGTCTAGAGTCTCTCATGGGTCCCCTGTACGGCCTCCCATTGCTGCTGTCTCCATCGCCACACTCTGCTGCCATGTGCCACTTTTTCAGGTTCTCTTCACACTGCTGGTGTGTTTAAATTTTTTGACATAGGGTGCTGGCAGATTACGGGCCTCCCATTGCTGCTGCCAGACATGTAATCTGCCATGGGGCCCCCGTACCGACTCCTCATGCGTGACGTTGCAACAAGGTGTAATTCAACCCTACATATGTTAGACCGCCTTTACGAACAGCTAAAGGCCATCACAGATTTCCTGATGTTAAAAGCGGATAAAGGTACTCCTGTGTAACTTAGATGTCAGCCATTGTCAGCTCATGTGTGACACCTGCGCTTGCTCAGGCCCTTTGAGGAGGCCACGCTATTCGTGAGTCGGCAGGACTATGGGATGAATGAGGTCAAATCGGCCATGGGCCCCCGTACCGCCTGTTCACGCTGATGCTGGTCCCACAGTGTGACCTGGGTCCCTGTACGGCCTTCCCATTGCTTCCACTCTGCCATGTACCTCTTTGAAATCTCCTCACACTCCTGCGGTTGTCCATTTTGTCATAGGTTGCTGGCAGATTAGCGGCCTTCCATAGGTGCCGCCAGGCCCCATATCGACCATGGGCCCCCGTACCTCCTGGTCACGCTGCTGCTGAGCCACAGTGTGACCTGGGTCCCTGTACGGCCTCCCATTGCTTCCACTCTGCCATGTGCCACTTTGAAATCTCCTCACACTCCTGCGGTTGTCCATTTTGTCATAGGTTGCTGGCAGATTACAGGCCTTCCATAGGTGCCACAAGCCCCATATCGGCCATGGGCCCCCGTACCGCCTGGTCACGCTGCTGCTGGGCCCACAGTGTGACCTGGGTCCCTGTACCGCCTCCCATTGCTCCCACTCTGCCATGTGCCACTTTCAGGTCTCCTCACGCTCCTGCTGGTTTCCATTTTGTCATAGGTTGCTGTATGGCCTCCCATTGCTGCTGCCTCCACCGCCACACTGTGGCTCCAAACACTGGTTTTGGCCCCGTGACTGCCCAAATGAGTGAAGTGTGCGGTGATTCTAAGATCGACGGCACTCATCTGCATGTCATACTGACAGACAGTATTATTTTCTCTTCCCCAGCAGACTCCAAGGGCATTTAAATTAAAGGTACAGTGTTCTGCACTAATATTAAGTCTCTCTGAAGCCTAGAAACACCCTTTTTTAAGTTAAATTCACAGCGAATTTATTCGACTCGAATCGAATATTGTCCACGAATTCGCCGAATCAGTCGAATCGAATTTTTCATTTCTTCGCTCATCTCTAGTCAGTATATCTCTTTGCTCGGACATTCCGTACAGGCAAGCAGATACACTGACAGGTCTGTAGGAGACCTGCATGGCACCAGTGATCTGCTGATGGCTGGTGCAATGCTTTACAGGCTTCTGCAACCAAAAATAAAAACGCACATTTTCTCTAGTCATCTTCCAGGACAGCACACCTGAGAGCTGACTAGCTCCACCTGACAGGAAACACAATCAAAAATTGACAGTTTAAATTTCCTGCCCTTTCCTCCCCTCTTCAGATTTTGATTGTGTTTCCCTGCTTACAGGCCTGAGGCTGGAAGGTCCCCCCTGTAGGGTAAACAGCCGAGCCAGGGAGGGCAGACTGTAACGGGGGTCACTTACCCACTTCAGGGGTCCCAGTGCATTGGAGCTTCCCAGGTGCCGGGGAGGTGTGCCTGGCATTCCAGGGATGAGTGTCCTTTCTCTTTCTTCTGGGGCAGTGGGAGGCATGTCCAGGAGAGTATCGGACCGCGAGGTGGCTTCTCTCGGGTATGGGACTGCTGGCTGGCATGTGAAGCGCACATCATTCCCCTGTAGGATGAGGGGGGTGGCCATGGTGGGGTCTGCTGCTAGCCATGTCAGAGGGCAGATAGCCCAGGGTCTGTGGGTGCAGGACTGGAAGTGGGAGCGAGGCTGTGGACCAAGCCTTGCTCACAGTAGACTTCCAGCAAGGGCAGGACATCTGCCCTAAAGATGGTGGCGCAGGTCAGAGTTACTTTCCTCATGAGGCAGGTGAGGAGCCTCCAGGAATTGCCCCTGGGAGCATGGACCCAGGAGCCTGGCGAAGACAACGCAGTCCCAAAGTGCCCTGCTAAGGATGGAAAAAAAGTCAGTGGCTGCAGCCAATGAGAAGGCCACGGGCAGTGAGTCTGACTCGGCTGGTGGGGAGGTACAGTCCCTACCCACTCCCCTACAGGTATGCTGGGGGGGAATACCATTTTAAATGGGCCCCTTGTTTATCTCTCCCTGAAGCCATGTGGAAACACCCAAGAGAGCACCCACAAGACACCTAAGGGTAAAGCCACCACCCCCCGCTCCAAATGGTGTGGTTATTGCAGTGATAAAGTTCTGCAAGATCATGCCAGACCCTTATGTTACAAATGGATCCACAAGTTGTCAGGGAAAGAAACTTCTGTGGTTATGAAGGATTTTTTTTGTCAGTACAAACAGAGATGTTAGCCACCTTACAGTCCTTTAAGACAGCCCTGATATCTAGAGAGGTGGATATTTGGTCCCCTAGGGAGGGGGTCGAATTCCCTGGAGGGTACTTGGGTGGGGAAGCAATAGGGGGGTTTGGGTCCCTCATCCTCGCAGGTCACACAAGAGGAAGACCTGGAAGAGGCTGAGGTTTCTGACCAAAGCTCTCTGGAAGAGGGGAAAAAATTGGAAGGTGATAGCCAGGCTAAAGAGGAATCTAGACCAGGTAGACACCTTTTTGCAGAGGATGATATGGAGGGGCCCCTAATGACTATTTAGGCCTCAGAGGACATCCAAGATCCACCAACTCAGGCCTCATAAGATGCATAGGGGGTTGTGAAGCCACAAATTAGGGTACTACCTGTACACCAAAATTCTCAGAGATATTGTCTTGAGAGAATGGAAAGATCCCGAGAGGAGAGTCTTAAAATTAAAGACCGGGAAAAGATGGTACCCCTTTGGGGAAGAGGAAGAAGAGAAATTCGAGAAGACCCCCAAATTAAACGCTGCACTAACGCAAGTGTCTAAAAAGGCTGACCTGTCCTTTGAGGACTTGGGTAACATCAAGGATCAGATGGACTGTAGGTGTGATGTGCTGTTGCGTACAGCCTGGGAGGCCAACACAGCTACTATGGCCCCAGCCTTGGCATCCACTTGCATCGCTAGGAATAATGATGCCTGGATGTATAGAGTAGTTGATCACGTCTCTCGGGGTTCCAAGAAAAAGGGAGAAGCCTAGACTGAACCAGGTGTTAGAATCCCTGGAAGTGGTCAGTAAGGCAGTCGCCTTGTTAGCAGAGAAGCTGCAGTGGAGTTGGTCAAGATGTCAGCTACGATGGCAACACTTATCAACTCAGCCCGGAGGGCGGTGTTAGGGCTCCGGGTATGACAAGAGGTGTGTGGACTGACACAGGGAAACGCAGGCCTCATGTATAGAGTAAACAAGACAATTTATTAAAGACTAAACAACACAAACGCAATGCAAGGTAAACATAACACAGTGCAAACAACCCAACCTCCAACAGATAACCATATATACAAATCAAATGTAGTCGGGCAGCAAACGGTACCAGGAGCGAGCGGAAGAGTGGTCGGGAATAGCCGAGGTCAGGACAGGCGGAGTTCGTTCAGAGTCAGGATCAGGCAGGAAGCAGACAGGATGCAGGTACTGGGGCTCATGGGAAACATACACCAAGGCCCTGACTGCAGGCCTGGCCACTCCTTAAATACACCTCCTGCAATCAGCCTCAGGTGATGACTTGATTGCAGGAGTGAGTTTCTGGCTGCTGAGAGCACCCGCTGGCCAGCTCTGGTACTGCAGCCCACACAGCAGGTGAGTCCCACCACCAGTGGTGAGTCCATTCCTGACAGGCGGTGTGGGTTAAGGCCTGGGAGGATGATCAGACATCCAGAGCCCAGTTCTGCGGTCTGCCCTTTGAGGGTTCCTGGCTGTTTGGCTCAGGGCTGGACCAGGTGCTATCAAGGTCCACTGAAAAGGGGAAGAAATTCCCCGTCAAGGCCAAGAAGGATAAGGGGAAGAAGTTTTTTCAAGCCCTGTTAATCAGAGCCAGCAAAGGCTTAGGAAGGACCTTCCCAAGAAGTGGGCCAGTAAGGGGAGACAGAAAGGGAGCTTCCTTCTTGCTCCAAACCCAGTAGTAAGGATCCCCCAAGACATAGATCTTAGGGTGGGTGGAAGGCTATCCAGGTTCCTCTAGCAATGGGGGACAATTTCAGAGAGCCCATACATCCTGCAGTTGATAGGGGAGGGGTATAAGTTGAAATTCTTTTCACTCCCCCCCTCATGTCTTTGTGTTGACTTATGCCGGCCATAGACGGGTCGAAAATCGGCCGATACAAAAATCGGCCGATTTGCGCACCATTATTGGGGTAATTGGTCAGCCGTTTTTTTCGGGGTTTTACACATTTTTTTATTGGTCATGTTGAAAAATTTGCGGACCATTTTCCCGGCAATGATGGGCAAATCGGCCGATCGTTTTACCGATATAAAATCTACGCATGAGCTGTGACCTGAGAAGGAGAAGAAGAAGTCTTGCGGTTGCAACAAATGTATCTATTTGTATCCAAATAAAAACACTGTAATCCAAATAATGTATTTGTATTGCTGTCACATTGTATGGTGTGCTCCCGTCTCTGCAAGGGACAGAAGTTATGGGGTTAATGCCGGCCATAGACGGGTTGAAAATCTGCCGATTTTTTTAATGGTGGTAACGGCTGATCGAACAACTGATTTATTGTTTTATTTTTAAAAAATATGCAGATTTTCGACCCGTCTATGGCCTGCATTATCCCCATAGAGACAAGGCAAAGGCAGAGAATCTCTTAGGAGGGATCTAGCAGATCAGGAGGTAATTGTCCCTGTGCCACAGACCATCTTTTCCGGGGGTTTTATTCCCTTCTTCGTAGTCCCGAAGTCTTCAGGGAAATTCCGATTGATCATAGACCTAAGAAGGTTGAATGGGCTCCTGTGGTACAAAAAGTTCTCTATGGAAAGTATTACAGTATACGGAAACTTCTGCTGAATGGAGTGTTTATGGCCACGGTGGACCTCAGGGACGCCTACCTCCATGTTCCCATTCCCCCTGAATATCAAGCCTTCATACGGAACAGGGGGTCAGTCATTGGCAGTTCTGACCCCTCTGTTCGGGCTGGCGGCCAGTCCAAAATTCTTTACTAAAGTCCTGGGCGAGGTAGTGGTGTATTTACACCTCCAGGAGATTTCCCTCATCTCTTACCTAGACGACCTGTTGAGCAACAAGTCCTGAGAGACCTGGAAAAAAGTGATCCTCACCTTGGAATTCTTTGGGTGGATTGTCAGTCGGGAAAAGTCTTCATTGACTCCCTCCCAGACCAAGGTGTTCCTGAAGTACATAGTGGACTCCAGAGTCCAGAGGCTTTTTTTACCCAAAGAAAAGACCGACAAGGTAGTGGGGGCCGCTTTTGGGTTGATAAAGGCTCCAGATTGCTCCCGGAGGCACATCATAAGAGTCATAGGACTCATGAAAGCCTGTACATTCAATGTGGAGTGGGCACAGCTACATTGCAGGCAGCTTCAGTTCTTCCTTCTACCCTCACGGGACCAGAAAACGGAATCGCTGGACGAGAGGGTGTCACTCTGAGAAGATAAAAGACTCAGTATGATGGTGGATCAGGCCCCAGAATCTTAGGGGAGGAAGACCATGAGTGCAGTGGGACTCAGTGTGGGTAACCATGGACACAAGCGAGTGGGGCTGGGGAGCTCATCTAGAGGACCGACAAGCCCAGGGCCCATGGGAGCCACACCTAAGGGGGACCTCCTCCAATTATAGGGAGTTGTTTGCAGTAGGTCAGGCCTTGAAGTCCTTCAAAGACAGGATTGGGGGGAAAAGAAGTCTAAATTCTGTCGGACAATATGCCGACAGTGGCATACCTGAATCATCAGGGGGGCACCAAATCCTGGAAACTCCTGGACCTAGCTCAGGAGATTCTAGGATGGGCAGAGAGCAGGGTCCTTTCAGTGTCTGCG